GACATTTCTGGTCATTCATGCCGTATTTTCCTAAAACAGTGATCGGGTTAAACAATAGAAATTTTATAAACAATTTTTTTGAATGTCATTATTTGAACCTTTGAGAAGAGAAACAAAAATATCCGGTTGAAAAGTATTGATTTTTAACGGTTTAATAAAAAATTTATGAGAAAGGGTTTTTTTTCTATTTAAAATACATGGCAAAATTCAAGCGCTTTGACACACCATTAAATATTTATTAAAATCAAAATAAAATAATACATACCTCTTTTTTCCATTTAGAACAAAATTTTGGTCGGGAATGATAAAAATTCGAAAATTTTGAACGTAAGGACCACCCTAATACTGCGATCCTAATGAAGAAAGTTCGTAGGGGAAGGTGCGGTAATGGGAGAGCGAGGAAAATGGGAGCTTTTAAATTGCAAGTACTTAGAGATTTTGAATTTCGCGGAAATAACTCGGAAAACTTCGACAATCTTCCAGTATGTCATACGAAGACAAACAGTCACATTTCTGACATATTTGTAGAAACTACAAGGAAAAATCAAGTTTTCGAGTTTTTCTTCGTAAACGGAAAATATTTCTGGATATCAAAGGAAACAGTTAAAAATTTATTTTTTTTGTATGTAAAAAAAATGTTTAATGAATGTATAATATTTCAAGAATATTGTGTGAAAATTTCAAGTCGATCGGAGCAGAATTAACAAAGTTATGAGCATTCAAGATTTCGTTCTCGGCAGACCTTGTTTTCGTACATTTTGAATTAAGTTTGTGTTTAAGGGGCTATATCAGTGTGTCACTTTCAAAAAAAATGGATTTTTTTGCTTATTCGATAGTTTATACTTTCAAAAATATCCTCTGAAAACGGCAAGGTCGTATCTTGAATAGTTTTAGAATGGCAGCGTTCTAAGGGGCCGTCCATAAACAACGTTACCAATTTCTCATTCTTTTTAGACCCCTTCCCCACGCGTTACAATTGTGTTAAATGCATTTTTTTATACTTTTTGACCCCCTTCACCCCTAAAATAGGTAACGTAGTTTATGGACGGCCCCTAAAGTGCGACTGCTCGCAGGTATAAACCACTCCACCTGCCTATAGACGGACTTCAAACGTGTTTTTCTCGAAATGACATTTTTCAAAATTGCTGACATCATAACTCAACGAGAAATTGACCAATCGACTTCAAATTGAAACTGAGTATTCTTAAATATATTTACTGTACAATGACTTTTGATCTTTTTAATTGGTTAAAAATAGTCAATTTGGCATTAAAAAACGACCATTTTTTACCCCTAAAGACGACAATTTTTTCAGAACTACGCCATTTTGTTAATAAAGTAACACACTCTGTATCAAGGAAAAAAATTATTAAAAATGTGCCTCTATTATACCGAATTAACCCCCCTTAATTATGTTTTGTTATTTTATTGGAGATAAATATGTGTAGATTTGGATTCATGAATAAACATAGTTAAATATTATATATCCTTTATGGGACTGAGGAAAAAAACACCTTCTATGGGCGGACGAGGCACCCGGGTACCTATGTTTAATTTATTGAAGATTTTGTATTAAAATAAGCAGTTCAATTAACTTTAAGTGTAGTTGACGTTTCAATGAAAGAAAAAATCACGTAATATGAGTACACTGTAAAAGTAATAATTTTTTCATTAAAAAAACAAAAATTTAACAATAAAATAAATGTCCTATATATAACGCCTTGCTGCTAAAATTTTCTCATTGCATTTTCCCAATCTAGGGTCCACAATTCTTACCAAAAACAAAATTTTTTCTTCGATCGTACATTATTACCTTCTATATAAATTAAAAGATTTCGATAGAAAGAGAAAATTAAAAATTTCACATGACTAAAAAAAATTTTAATTTTCCCCAAAAAAAAATTACTTTTTCTTAAACCAAAATGTTAAATTAATGTACGATGTACTAATGTACGATTCAAGAAAAAATTTTGTTTTTTTTTGTTTTTGATAAGAATTGTGGACCTTAGATTGGACGCAATCGGAAAATTTCAACAGCGAGTATATGACGTTTATTTTATTATTAAATTTTATTTCTTTCAATAAAAAAAAATTATATTTCGAAGGTTTAAATATATAAGAAAACATCCACAAAAACTGGTATCACTTTATTTCAATGCGTTTGAGAAAAAAATTCCTGAAATTTACACATTTTTTGACTTTCTATAAAGTAGGCGCCCCCCTTAAGATGCAACATTTTTAAGGCAGCATTGCTGAATTTACGCAATGCAATTTCCATTACAACTACTAGCGCTGATTTTAAGACTCATCTTAAAATAAGATTTTCTTTTTGCCCGTGTACCTTGTCAGTCCCACAAAGGATATATTATTATATATGTTACGGTTAATGTGCGAAATTGGTGAATGTGCACATTAACCGGTCAATGTGCACATTGACCAAATTGGGCATCAGTAGGTAGGTGACTGTGAGAATAGCATACGAATTTCTTTGTTTTGTGCACTTTAACCGGTAAATGTACACATTCACCAAATCATTTTGGTTAAAGTGAAAAATAAATATTATAGTATTGATGTTTTGCTACTTTAACCGGTAAATGTACACATTCACCCAAATCGTTTTGATTAAAATAAATTTTGCTGCGTACGAAAAATATATTTATTTATTTTTGCAGGGGCGACTTTCATGAAATTTTGTTTAATTTGACATTTTTTTTGCTATTTTTAAAGTATAAAGTATTTTAGAAAATATTGAACTTTGAATAATATATAGATTTTTTGGGATTAACAAATTTTAACTTTAAATATAGCTATGTAGGAAGATTATATTTATTTATTTTTGCAATTAATATATTTATTTACATTTGAACTTCTATTTATATTTGTCTTCCTACTTCTGTTTATAATTTTCATTTATTATAATTCTATTCCTTTAATACAATTTATATTTAATATTATCTTATCAATTTATTAATAATAATATTCATTCCATTTTCACATTTTATATGCATAAAAAAATTATTTAACAAATCACTCATTTCAAATTTTCACATTTACCAACCAAGGCTGGTCAATGTGTACAATCACCAATTTACTTGGTAAATGTACATAATATCTTCCCCAAATGTCCGATTTCTCACTTTTACCAAAATGCCCGGTGAATGTGCACATTGACCGGTTAATGTGCACATTCACCGGACTTCGCACTTTAACCGTAACATATGTTTATATATATATATATATATATATATATACTAGAGGGGCTACGCCCCCCTGTTTTAATCATTTAAATTAAAAAAATTCTTGTACCGAACTAAGTGAAAAAAAGTTGATTTGATCGGGCTGTAACTTGCACATAGTTTAGCCCTAGGTGTAAGTTTTATTAACAATCCACTAACCCAAAGTACTTCAAATAGGACTCGTTAGATGCCGAATTTTGTCAACTTTTACTTAGTAACGTCAGAATTACGATAACTTTATTTGTTTATAAAATATATCATTCATTATTAACCTTAATAGTTAATTAATTAACTAAAAATTGTAAACATTATATAAGTAAATAAAAAAAATTTTTGACATTTATGTTTTCCAAAGGTTTTTTTGTGCTCTTTCGATTGGTGAAAAAAAAATCAAAAAATTCAAAATTTGACCCCTTTTTCTGAAAATCAAAAATTTTTTTTGACTATTTTTTAAGCTCCGTCTTTTTTTAAATTTATTTTTATTTTTTTTTGAAAGTTAAAAGTGTGCATTTTTAGCTCAAAAAATATTGAGATGTCCTTTTTTGTTATTTTCGAGATATTAGTTAATTAATTAATTAATGTTAATAAAAATTTATATATCTTATAAACGAATAAAGGTATCGTAATTCTGGCGTTACTAAATGAAAGTTGACAAATTCCGCATCCAACGAACCCTATATGAAGTACTTTGGGTTAGTGGATTGTTAATAAACAATTGGCTAACTTGGCAATTGTTTATAAAAAATCCTCTATTCCAAAATAGTCCAAATAGGGCTCGTTGGGTGCGGAATTACGTTAGCTTTCAATTGATATCTTCAGAATTGCAATAACTTTATTTATTTGTGAAATATTTCATTTTTTATTAACATTAATTAATTAATTAATATCTTGAAAATAACAAAAAAGGACATCTCAATATTTTTTGTTGTGAAAAAATACATTTTTAGCTTTCAAAAAAAAAAATAAATAAAAAAAATAAAAAGGACCGAACTTAAAAAAAAATTCGAAAAAATGTTTAAATTTCAAAAAAAGGTCAAAATTTGAATTTTTTAAAAAAAGTTTTACACCATTCGAAAGAGCAGGAAAAAACCTTTCGAAAACATATGGGACAAATTTTTCTTCTTCTTTCTGTTCAAAAGTTACAAGTCTTCAAAAATGCACTGTTTAAATTTTTCAAAAAAATTCAACCCCCTCCCTCTCCGACAGTTTATGAAAAAACCGAACAATACTTCGTGGTTAAAGTACTTACCCCTAGGGCTAAACTATGTGCAAGTTACAACCCGATCCGATCAACTTTTTTTTCACTTAGTTCGCTACAGGAATTTTACCCCATATATATATATATATATATTATAGTTAAATTTGTTAATGTTTTTCTAAATTGTGGACAGTGAAAATTCTTTTGGGGTAATTAGAGAATTGTGTCAACTAGCAGAGTTTCGTTACCTCGATATGGCTTTTATTATTTTTTTGAAAATTGAAAAAGATTCATTTATAAAATTTGATATTGTTGCATATTTAATTGCTAAGAATCCATATTTGTGTTTTATTGTCTAAAATGTGTTATTATTGGATACTTTAATACTGAAGAAGCTGTAAGTTTTGTTATGTCATAAATACTTTGTAAGAAATTCATCTGTCGAGATCTATTGACAAACTAGAAAAAATATCCACTAAAGTTTATCACTTTCATAGTTAAAGGTTAATATGCTTCAAAAAAATGTTTTATTTAAGTACAAAATTATTAAAATAATCCATACATACCTAAATGATATAGCATACGAATTATACTCTTTTTCACTAGGCCTTACTAAAAAAGCTCCATCAGCAGGAATTCTTTTTAACATTTCTTCTGCTTCGGTTCGGGAACAATCAGCATGCCACCATTCTCTTTCTTCATGTTTACTTGGCTGAGGTACTGGGTCACGCAACGTAATTATAAATTCCTAAATTGAAGAATATTACTCCAGTTAATAACGGTATTAAATTTTATAAAGTAAATAACATTAATAGTGAGTTTTCATCAATTTTTAAAAATTGTAAACGATAGATCGGGTCTGATTTATATAACAATTTTTTTTCTTGCAGTAATTTAGTATAATAATCTAAAGTGTTAAGTTTTTTGAGAAATTTATCCATATTTACACGGAGAAACTTTAGTCTATAAAATTTGATATTATAATACTAACAAGTAAAACTACCCAAGTGCCAATCGCCGATTGACTTGAGTCTTTGCGCATTTTTTAGAGGAGCTAAAAATATTTGATACGTACATTTTTATATCGGCAATGAAGATGTTTTAAGTGTTGAAAACAGGGGTTGAAAAGTCATATTTTGAGTGGCAAAATATACATATCATGATCATTAAAGAAAGTTTAATTAAAATAATTATTTCATTATTTAAAAAATGTTTGACACTTTTTTCTTGATTTCCTAAACGATACTGCTCGGTAGAAATTACCGTTATAAACCTTTTTGAATGGGGTGAGTGGAACCTTTAACCCTTTAAGAACCAAATATACAAAATTTTTGCATGATTTCACAACCAATTTTTCAAAGTGATTTGAATCGCTTGAAACTTGTTACTCGGGGGTTTTCGGGGACGCTGATTACGAATTCGATGTCAGTTTTTCAAAATTCAAAATGGCGGATCCAATATGGCGGAAGACATTTTGAAAATCAACTGCACTTTGATTGAAACTTGTTACTCTGGGGTTTTCGGGGTCGCTGATTACGAATTCGATGTCAGTTTTTCAAAATTCAAAATGGCGGATCCAATATGGCGGAAGACATTTTGAAAATCAACTGCAATTTGATTGAAACTTGTTACTCGGGGGTTTTCGGGGTCGCTGATTACAAATCCGATGCCAGTTTTCCAAAATTTTGAAAATTCAAAATGGCGGATTGTTTTTTACTGTCTTGATTCACGTTTGTCATAGTCTGTTCAGTACTGTCACTGTCTTTTTCGTTGAAGGCGATTGACTGTCAATTGTTTTCGTCATTGCGTTGTTTCTGTGTCGTCTGCCATATTGGATCCGCCATTTTAAATTTTGAAAAACTGACATCGGATTCGTAATCAGCGACGCCAAAAACCCCCGAGTATCAAGTTTCAATCAAATTGCAGTTGATTTTCAAAATGTCTTCCGCCATATTGGATCCGCCATTTTGAATTTTGAAAAACAGACATCGAATTCGTAATCAGCGACCCCGAAAACCCCCGAATAACAAGTTTCAATCAAATTGCAGTTGATTTTCAAAATGTCTTCCGCCATATTGGATCCGCCATTTTGAATTTTGAAAAACTGACATCGAATTCGTAATCAGCGACCCCGAAAACCCCCGAGTAACAAGTTTCAATCAAATTGCAGTTGATTTTCAAAATGTCTTCCGCCATATTGGATCCGCCATTTTGAATTTTGAAAAACTGACATCGAATTCGTAATCAGCGTCCCCGAAAACCCCCGAGTAACAAGTTTCAAGCGATTCAAATCACTTTGAAAAATTGGTTGTGAAATCATGCAAAAATTTTGTATATTTGGTTCTTAAAGGGTTAAAGGTTCCACTCACCCCATTCAAAAAGGTTTATAACGGTAATTTCTACCGAGCAGTATCTTTTAGGAAATCAAGAAAGAAGTGTCAAACATTTTTTAAATAATGAAATAATTATTTTAATTAAACTTTCTTTAATGATCATGATATGTATATTTTGCCACTCAAAATATGACTTTTCAACCCCTGTTTTCAACCCTTAAAACATCTTCATTGCCGATATAAAAATGTACGTATCAAATATTTTTAGCTCCTCTAAAAAATGCGCAAAGACTCAAGTCAATCGGCGATTGGCACTTGGGTAGTTTTACTTGTAAGTTTTACAAAAACGATAGTAAACGAGGATATAGCGTTACCTTTGTGAAAATTACTATTTAAATATTATACTGAGTGAGTATTCTTAATTTGGAAAGAGTAATATAATAATTATGGATTTATATTTCTAAACAGTAGGCAATTTTAATAAAAAAAAAAGAAACTGAAGTTGGTGAATCGCTGAAAACGAGCTTTATAAATATATTAATAACTGAAAAAGAATTATGAAATTTACAAAAACTATGGTTAATATCCATCCCGTTTGAAAATAAAATTACTATAGTGTTTTGGGAATATGGACATAAAAGTTAAAAAGCCCTCCACAATAATAGAAAAAATTACTACTACATACTAAATTTTACCATATTCGATATTAAATGTTCCAAGTTGCACCATTAAATATCACAGTAAACATATTATATATACTCACACATATTACATATTCTTGAGAAACGCACGCTTTTAATACAATACTAATATAAAGAACTTATTCTAATAATATACACATTCACATAATCGTCGCAATACATGCTTGAGAAAAAAGGGAACTTCTTTATATACTAAACAAGAAAAAGTATTGCCGCTTGAGAGATAATTTCTACAAATATATGTTATATACCTATGTAAAACTAATTTAATATTTTAAATTTATTTAAATTTATTAATTAAAATATAAATTATTAATATAAATAAAGTCAAATTTAAATTAAATTCTCAAAATTAAATATTATTCAGTAAATTTCATTTTGTGTTTCCTTCACTGTTTAACTTTTTGAATTAAAAATTTGGAAAATTTCTTGAAAATTTTAACGAGAATTAAAAAAAATTTAGATTTACTAAAAAATTATTATTTTAAATAAATATAATAAAAAAAATTTAAGAATTACTTTTTTACAATGATTTCCAGTTATATACTTTTTTTGAAACTATTTTTTGTTTTGATTTTTTATTAGGGTAAGTCCGGGGGAGTTGGCCATGCGGGAGAGATGGCCAATACAAATATTTTATAGAATTAGCAGCTAGGTATCGCTTATTAAAGATTAGTTCCCTTTGTTTTGTGGCAAAACACAATTAAAAGAAAAAATATTGAAAAAGTATGTAAAAAACTGATTTGTTATTTTGACTAGTTCTGAAAAAAGTGATGAGTTTACGTTTCTCACTGGTGTTATATGTTATTTTAAAGAATAATTTTGAATTTCATGTTTTTTTGTAAAGTACATGATCCAAGATTTGTCATAACTTTACATTTATTCAAAAATTTTGTTTACTTATTTATATTTTAGTTGTGTCAATTTTCCTCCTGACATTAGGAGAGATGGCCATGTTTTTTCGAGGTGAGATGGCCATACTGTTTAAGTTATTGGCACCCTTGAGATTCGTGTGTTCGCTAAAAAAACATTAATTCTGTGGCAAATGACATTTTTTATGACATATATTCCCAGCAAACACGAATACGTAATGGTTATATATTTGTTCTATAACAAGATGTAACACCCCAGATAACAAAGGTCTCCGGCCCGCCCGGCACGCTGCGGCCGAGACACCGAGTGTAAGCTGTGACGCTGCGATTTAACTAGCACTTGCTGGCGCACTTGTTGTAGATCAAGCGAGCTAGCAATGGGCTAGAGAATTCGCTTACACATTATCTAGACCGTGAGCTCGCTGAGAGCCAGCAAATGGCTAGATTTTATTAATCCCAATTTATTAATTAAATTATATGTACTTACAAATAAAATAAATATATAATAGGAAATAAAGTTAAAATAATAAAATTTCAATGTTCACATAAAAATGCGTTAGTCAAAGAAATGTTTTGTATTTGTTCTAGAATTTTTATTATAAAAGAATTTTTTTCGTTATGAAACACACTATACAAAAATAATTATTGTTTAAAAAATTTTTTGCTTTTAATAATTTTTCAAATTGATTATTTATAAAATGTTAATATAAAATTATATTCCTTATGTCCCATCAAAAATTAAAAATTTGTTTTATATTTCACGTAGATTTTTAAGTATAAAACACCCAAGAAAAAATCTCACTGAATAAGAAATAGATTATTATTAACAAAAATTATTTATCTCTAAAATTTTATAATTATTATTAATATTAATAAGTACGCAAATTAGAGGTTTAAGGTTAAACGCTATAATTATGCACAATTTAAAAAATAAAATTAATTATTATTTTATATTCAAATGATATTGTATATAATTAAATAATTAATATTGCTATTAAATTTCTTTCTTATTCAATGGAATTTTTTTTCTCAACGGTTTTATACTTAGAAATGTATGTGAAATATAAAACATTTTTTAAATTTTTGATTGGACATAAAAAACAAATTTTTTTAGTAACATTTTATGAATATAATTTCAAAAATTATTAGAAATAAAAAAATGTTAAAACAAATATTATTTTTGTAAAGTACGTATTAAGACCAAGAAATTTTTTTTTATTTTCAAATTGATCAACTGGGTTTTGAAATTTTTTTTATTTACGACTGCTAAAAAATTTAAATTGTTATAATAACTTTAATAAAAAAAAATTTTTGGTTCAAAAATTTCAGAAATTTATTCTAATCGCAATAGGATTAAAAAAAGATTTGACGTTGAAAATTAAAGTATTTTTTTAGGTTATATCCATATTTGAGAAATTTTGATTCAAGAAAAATAAAAATTGAAATCATGCTGATGGATCGGCCAATCATAGCATTATAATGTCAGTGATTGTCAGGAACTCCCGAAAAGGTCCTACAGATAACTGAAAATAAGTCTGTTTTTAAATGGAATTTTTGAAAATTCATAACTCGAAAGTATGAGCACTCGCACAGAAATAAAAGAAAAAAAGGAAAACGAATGCATAAAAATGTACGTTGCTAATATAAACATAAACATTTTATAAAAATTAAATTGGTAATCGTTCTCAGTTTTCCGAATGTATTGTGCGTTAACCTTAGGAAGCTCGATCAGGTGAAACGCGACCATTGACCAATATAATTGATTGTATCCATTGCTTGCAATGAATATTTTTGGCCTCGTGGTGGAGTAAAGGTGATAAATATGTGTGTGTGTGTATGTCA